GAAATATTTCTCTAAAATTTTGTGAAATAGTGAAAAAGGAACAGCAGTTGTTTGAAAGATACACGTAAGTTTCAGAAACAAGAAATAACAGGGAGCACGTTAAGCCCATTGTTCACTAATTTGTTCTAAAGATCATCAAAACTCATGCAGTAGAAGTGTTGACATATACACACTCTGTCCAAGGCCAACATCAGCTCTACATTTATAGCCTCGGTTAACCACAGAAACAGTGGAATTTATTTGTACCACTGTACTTGGCACCTGGACATCAAAGTAAAGCTGTGTTCAGAAAGAAGCATTGCATGTTCAAAAACCTTTCTTTACATAAAACCTTGTTTTTATTGGACATCAGTGAGTCAAAGGCAGATGGCTGATCTAATTTTAGTTAGGGACAGATACAACCCACCAGCGGCCAGGGTAATCAAGGGTAGCCAAGGTTATGAGCCCCAAGCAACAAATTTATTTTACCTCATATTCAGATTCTAGTGTCACAGTGTTCTGTTTTAATTTTTCTTTCAAAGCTGGATCAACCTGCAAGACAAACAAAAATACAGCAAAAATGTTTGCTTTTAAGAATTTTTTTAAAAAGAAATCTTAACCTTAAATAAACTAAATACTGGTACATACAAACCATCCCCTCCTCTGAATGAGATTATGTGCTGTTTGTTCAGATACCAGGATGACGAACACAGGACAAAAATTGGGCTGAAAAGAAACAGGTCAACATCCAAACTTTTCAAATCAAAAAGGAAGCACATTTGTAACTAGCCCTGCACTTGCATTATCTTAGATCTGTAACTGTTTAGTTTGAAACTCTGAAACTAAACAAAGCCTTAAACAAATGAATCAAGAAAGACCAAGAAAGAGAAAATTGTGAACGCATTACATATTTTACTCCTGAATGTTGTGTTCAGTGAATAGGTATACAATATATTCTGGTTTTCAGTCTAAGGATGAGTCAAACTTCCAATTTTCTGGTGGACACACAGCTCTTTCCTAGTTTTCATTCTGTACTGACAATGCTGGTGATTCCTGCCACCTTTCAAAGAAGTTTGTTCAAAGAACAAATCTAACAACAGAAATGTCAGTGAACCACAGCAGATGTATCCATGTTTTAACTTCTTCCAAGCCCAGAAGAAGTTATGTTCATCCCTCCCTTTGCATCTGTCTCCCACAGGCTTAGGAGTAGAAGCAAAAGGGGGAAGATAATTAGCATTCTTCATGCTTAGAGAAAGAATGTTTTATGTTCTCAAACAGACATCAGCCACATATGCAGTATTCAGACACAGTCTTCAGGCTAATCAATTAAAATATCAAATAAATCTACCATGAGAAAACATTCTCATTTTCAGACCTTAAATACAACCCGTGTTAAACAAACCAGATGTGTAAGGAGACTGGTAATATGTTTAGTTCTACATCCATGGTACGCTAGTCCAACTAGAACTAATTTAGTGAAGAAAAGTTGTTATTTTTAATTTGCTGCTTCTTGATCTGAATTAAAAGGGCCCAGTTATCCTCGTCACAACCAACCTCAAATGTCTATAGGTAGTCTAGAAAACAAAAAGGAGGGAACACAAATTATAGAATTTGCCTGGTCAATGAGAAAATCTGCCTCCAGATTCTGCCCCAACACAAGCTCCTGATCCTCAGAGGTACTTAAAATACACACCTACTACCTGTATTGGTGGGAATTGCTCTGAGGAATTTCCCTAGGCCATAGTGTTCCCCTTGATTACAGACACTGCCTGCTAGTTAGTATGCAGCCTGTGAGACCTCAATTCCCAAGGATGCTCAGACAGGCAAGTCTAACACCATCTGTGCATGGCCAGAGGTTTGATGTCCCTATCTGATCAGAGATCTGGCCATAGAAATACAAGCACTTGCAACCTCCAGACTCATTACACTTCGGAACTAAGCCAAAACATCTAAAACGGTTAAAGTTTCTGCAGGATACAGCTCTCACTTTCTTTGTAATTAAAAAAAACCCTTGTAAAACAAGCTACTGTCTCTGCACTGGCCATCTACATCAAATAAAAAATGAAATGCTGTATCTCTCCTTGGCATTCAAGGCCTCCATAGGACTGCCCCTCATTAAAGATGGATCGCCTTTCTCCTGTGACCACGACCTCCAACAACAGCCATGCTTCATTAGAACAACAAACCCATCCATCACACCTGCAGAAATGCTAACTCTTTGGGCAGCCAGACAGGCTTTGGAGCTTGCTTTCACAGAGGTAATAGTGATCATGGACTTCACTGTATTCAGAACTAAATGCAAACACTATTTGTTATGCTTGGTGTTCTCGCAATACACGTACGGACAAGGGGAAATAAATGCTCCAGCAAGCAAAGCAGCAAAAGACTTTTTTTCCTCCTATGTTTTCCCTTCATTTAATAATATGGCACGCAAAATAACGTGGTTGGAGCAGCATTTTTACTTAATTAACCACAGCCAGAATTTAACCTACAAAGACAGCTCAATATCCCCATTATCAAGTTTTATTTTAGTAATTTTTAGTGTGTTTTTTTTTAACGTGTCATGTTTGCACGGACACATTTGTGTAAGGTAAAGGGAAACAAGCAGTAAAGTTACTGCTGCTTCTCTTCCCTTCCAGGCCCTTCTGTCCCCAGATCTCCTCATGTATTCATTCTCCTCTGTCTGCACAAAGGGAGAAGACTAGCTAAAACTGAGACACAGCACCCCAATACTCACAACTGCTGGATGCTGTAGTTTTAATATTGACAAAAATGCAGAAATGAAGGAAGCTAGTTGAAATTTCTCAGAAAAAAGTCATCCTGTAAATGAGAAGTAACAAGAAACTACTTCTCTAGAAGTAGGAATTTTAGTCAGCAAATTAACTTACCAAAAAAGAGTAGTTGAACCCTGTTTTGAGGGCAAACTATACACACATCCTGGCAAGCTGTTAATATTTAACATAGCGTCACATGAAAGACTTAAGTCCACTCTGCAAAACATACTACTTTGCTTGAAGATCCACCAAAAAAAAAAAGGAACAAGTATGTATTTGCTCTTATCTTTACCTTTTTTGTTCTCTACATACTTACCCACCTAGAGCAATTTAAACATACTTGACTCTACACAGAAATTCAGTCATCTGCATGTTCTAAAGCCTTGGTTGCAAACCCCTGCTTTTCAGTTGCCAAATGGAGACAGACAGGTTACAAATTGTTTTCAGAACTAACACGGCAGTTGAGAAAAAGTCTATTAAAAAGTTCTGTTTCCACAGTGTTTGTACCATGCTGCACTATCTTTGCAACATCACAAGAACAAAACAAAGGAGAACAGAACAGTGCTATTTTCATTCTGAAAAGGCAGATAAACATCAGCATGAGCCACAATCACAGATCATAACCAGGGAACACTTCAAACGTGGGCAGAGCCAGGAAAGTGGCCTTGCCAAAGTGGTAGCTCCTTTATATTACACATCTGCCACAAGATCCAAATACAAACACATATATTTTGCTTCCATGATGACTGCTATGCCAACGCACATACTGCCAAATGAGCTAAAAGTATTCAGATATGTACCGGCAAATGAATCATCAGCTAAATTATGAATACAAATCCCTATTACTAAATATGCCCAAATGCCGTTAACAGCCTGGCAGTGTCCTCTGCACCATTATTTAGAAGGCAGGAAGGAACAGAAGACAATACCCTTTTACACTAGAGGACTCCTTGTCAGGCAAAATCTCAGATTTAAGATCCATTTAAATTCAAGCCTTGTCTCTAAATATGGAATTCAAAGATGTGTGGACTTCTAATTAGAGCATAACTTCACGTTAAATTCTTACTGGAAAACTACTGAAATAATTGATGCAAGTATTCAGGCAGCTTTCATGAGAAGCTGTCTGCAAGGCTTCAAAACCAATACTGTAAATACCGTTTTTCAAGGCTTTACTATTTTTTTATTCTGGGGCATTGTTTTTATTTTTTCCCATGTAGCACTTGCAGCAAAAATGAATGAAACATTCTCAGAGTATTTTGCACTATCCAGGCTTATTTCATATTACATCAAAGTACAAGGGCAGGTATATACGCAAACCTCAAAAAAGGTTTAAGAACCAAGTTTTCAAATTAGAATTTTGTCCCATTTCACACTCCGTGTTCCTTCAGATTTACCCTTACTAAACTTCAAAAGGTTCCAAAGATAAAGACTTTAAAAATATTCTTAGGCTGCTAGAAGTAATAGGAGTTAAGCACAAAATTATTCTTAGAAATCTTTGTAGGTAGCTATTTGAGGCTATAAGTACCTAAAATCCTTTTAAAATCTGGCTGCCACTTCTCATTTTTAGGCTGACATTTCAGTTTTTCAATTAGAAGATGGATAGAATTTCTGAGTGGGAAAAAAAGGTGCACCTCAGGATGCAGACCAGGGGCACCACTTCAGAGCAAAGCAGGAATACCTGGTGCTTACAGCCCCTACCAAACCGGGGACTCCTGCAGTGCACCGTGATAAACTCTTGGCCTCTCTCCACCCTTTTCAGTAAAGGAAAATTTCTGTTTGTGACACAAATATTTCTGGTAGACTCATACATCTAAATGTTCTGCTAGTAAAAAAGTTCTCTAGCTAACAATTTTGTGCTGATCCTCAGTGACCACCATTCATTTTGGTTCAGAATCAAATAATACAGACAGAGAGCAACGGTGAAATTTGTGAATATCGCTAACTTTACCCTCAGGACATGGAAAGGATAGCTCTTCCACAAAGGAACCCAAAGAACACTATCACTATCCCCTTTCGATATTCAGCGGGATAGAACACCTCTCCTATGAGGAAAGGCTGAGAGAGTTGGGGTTGTTAAGTCCGGAGAAGAGGTGGCTCCAGGAAGACCTTATTGTGACCTCTCAATACTTAAAGAGGGCTTATAAGAAAGATAGAGACAAACTTTTAGTAGGGCCCGTTGTGATAGGACATGGGGTAATGGTTTTAAACTAAAAGAAGGTAGACTTAGACTAGGTGTAAGAATTTATTTTTTACGATGAGGGTGGTGAAACACTGGAATAGGTTGCCCAGAACGGTGGCGGACGCCCCATCCCTGGGAACATTCAAGGTCAGGTTGGATGGGGCTCTGAGCAACCTGATCTAGTCGCAGATGTCCCTGCTCATTGCAGGGGGTTGGACTAGATGACCTTTAAAGGTCCCTTCCAACCCAAACCATTTGACAATTCTATGAAACACTGGAATACAAAGCAGATTAGCAGTATCACTCCTGTTCAGCATTCAGAGAGGAGAAGCAAGCTGATTCACTTTCTAATTTTCAGGGTAGCATCCCAGTTGTCCACAATACACATATGCTTGGATCTGTAATTTAAATAGCCCACTTTCACAAGCAGTCTCTCTCTCGGCTATAACCATTATTATTTATTCGTCCACTTACTATTTGTGGCTGTGGGTTTGAGCGCAAACCAAGTCTCAAATATATTACATCTTCTAAAATTAAGGGTTCAATTGCTACACAAGGAAACTGTCAGGAGACAACCATGTCATGAGAAGAACACTGTC